GAAACCCGTACTTTTCGCTCTTCAGACATTATGAAAAAAGCTTGAGAATTTAACAACAAGAAAAATTTATCACGAAGTTGGAATATTTCTGAATAATTTTTCTCAAAACCCTTAATGCCTTTAAATAAGGCAATGCCCAATTCGGGGGGGGGGGGGGGGGGGGTCGAAATTTTTTGGAAGTAAAATGCAGTTTAAAAGGGCGTTTTACATATTTGAATTATTGTTATGTTGGTTAAAAATAATATTTCGCTTCCGGGCTCCGGTCTAAGGGTGGGGAAGGGGGAAGGAGCAGGTACGCTATGATGGAGTTGAACAGTGAGCTAGCCCTCAACCAAACAACCATCTTTAGCCTTTACGGTGAAATATCAATTCATTTAATTTTTTTTGTCAACAAAAGTTTGCTCTTCTGAAATTCATAAAAACTTATAAAGTCTAATATAGTTAATGCAAGAGTAAAAGGAGCACTATACCTCAAATCTTTAGTTGAAACACCTCACTTTAAGTAACGCGTTAGATGACCTCGAAAGCTAATTAAGTTGAATTTCCTAGGTGTAGCATTCTATAATTCCACATGGCTTAGTCATTAGGGTTCAATAGGCTATAGACACACGGGCAGAACTATATTTCAAGTACTATGATTCAAGGCTATATCTATTGAATTATTGCTGAATCCTAGACTCCCGCAAAGTGCATGCATGATCTGAGAGTAATGTTGCCATATTGGTAAAAGCGGAAAACGCCGATGGATAAAAATTGGACAAGCGTCTTTAAGGAATAACATGACAAATATTCTGGAAACCCACTACAGTCGGACCTCCCTATAACAACAATCCTCTATAATATGAAGCTGCTATCCGCTCTTCAAAAGCGTGAAACTTTCAGCCTAAACAGTTTTAAAGCATAGCAATAGCCAGCATCAACAGATATTGATGGATTGATATGCAATCAAATTTCTGCTTATACACAATTTTAGATGTTCATCAGTCAAGTGCTATGTTTCTCTTCCAAGGAGCACGAGCATGACAAAGATTACATCAACGGACAGATTATTGTATGATACACTTTTGCAGTATATTCTACATGAATCTTGGTTCAAAAAGCAAATGATGGATCTGCCAATTACGAAAACTTTAATAAGAAAATGCTACTGTAAACCAAAATCAACAGTGATGCCTCTAAACTGTTGAGCGAAGATTTGACGGTGCACTATACTGTAGACTAGTTATCTGCCATCATTGGTCATCAATTGTGAAAATACCTGGCTTGTTGATATATCTGAAGCCCCGTCACCAGTATATGCCTCATTTTGGGTGTTGCGGAGACCCTCTGGCAGTGGCAGCCGTGGAGAGATGGAATTAGAAATCTCATGGGGTTCTATAAGTGAATCAGATTCTTGAAGCTGGAGTGCATATTCCAAGTTCCACAGCACGTCACCCATCGTTGGCCTATCGATACCATAATCAGCCAAACATTTCTCTGCAGTTTCCCCGAACTTCTTCAAACAGCTTAGCTTTATCTGACCTCTGATACAGGGATCAACAATCTGCTCTAGTTGTCCGTCCTTCTGCCACTGCATAGCCCATTCGGCCAAATTCACTTGCTCCCGTGAAAGCAGAGGATCAATGGCAGGTCTAGCACATAAGACTTCGAAAAGAACAACTCCAAATGAGTAAACATCTGACTTATCTGTAAGCTGCTGCCTCCGAAAATATTCCGGATCAAGGTAGCCGAAACTTCCTTTTACACCAGTGCTGACATGGGTCTCATTGAGACATGGGCCTGTCCTTGAGAGACCAAAATCAGCAACCTTAGCAACATAATTTTCATCAAGCAGGATGTTTGTTGACTTGATGTCGCGATGGATAATTCCTTGAGCAAAACCTGTATGAAGGTAGTGGAGGCCTCTTGCAGCACCAATGCATATCTCAAGCCTTTGCTTCCAAGATAAGGGTGTTATTCCTGGACCATACAAATGCCTCTTAAGAGGTCCCTTCTCCATGTACTCGTAAACAAGTATCATCTCAGACTGTTCTTCGCAATAACCTACAAGTGAAACAAGATGGTGGTGGCGAATCTTGGAAAGAACTGTGATTTCAGTATGAAATTCAGGCAGACCCTGCCGGGAACCTGGAACACCTCTCTTTATAGCAACTTTTCTGTTGTCTCCAAGAACTGCTTTGTATACCATCCCAAAGCCACCAGAACCAACTATCAAACTCTTATCAAAATTATTAGTAGCCAATTGTATTTCGGCAAAGGGAATCCTCTGACCTAGAAATCCATTTGGTCCAGCTGAAGTCCCATCAGACAATGTACCATGGGAAGTACTTCCATATTGACGTAAAGGCGTCCAGCCAGCGCTTTCTGAACGCTTTGGTTTTAGCTTTTTCTTTCTGCAGACAAAGAATAGCAAGGCAGCAAGTATCACCACACTCAGCAGAATAAAACTTCCAAGAACAGAACTCACTATAACCCAAACATTTCTCTTCTTAGAACCTGATTTTGAAGCCACATAATTAACCATTTTCATAATCTCAACACCATTCAGAATGGCATTCTTCCTCATAGTACTACTTAGGTTAGAAGGATCAATGCTTACTTGCACAACGCCTGAACTGCCTGAGTACACCACAAAATCTATGTAATACGGTGTAGCAAGCTCACGGAATGTAACGGAAGACAAATCAAGGTCTTTGTACGCTGTGAACCCGTTGAGATATACATTAAAGTACAACTGGCCAGGTGCCATACTAACAATGTCACAGAAATGCAAACGAACAAAGTGCGACGCATCTCCAGTATCCACAGGAAAGTTCCATGTGATATTGAATATGAAATCTGTAGTTACATTCTCCCTATTCATCTGCTGTGCTGTCATGTACACATTATCAGGAGCAATTTCCCTTGTGGCACCACCCTTTTGATACTTTGGAACATGAGAGGTTCTTGCTATTTTAGCAGCAGATTTCAAGACAAGAAAATCCCCATCAGGTACCCAACTTCTCCACATGGTATCATTAAAAGGAGTTAACTTTAACCCTCCAACATTAATCCTATGAACAGTTTCTAATGTTTGTAATGTCATATTCTGATTGAACTCCTGAATTCCCCTAGGACCAACTGATTTAGCCCCATCACCAATTATGAAATCATCAGGAGCTGAAAACACTTCAATTGCATTCACAAAAGCAAAATTGGATTCATAAGTTGGTGTGAACTCAATTTCAAGCTCAAAATTATCCACCATCAATATGAACTCTCTAAGCACAGTAGTATTAACACTAAAATTACTAAAAAGCAGAACCCCATTTGCAGAAAAACTGAAACTTGCTTCCCTTAGATCATAATTCTGAGCAGTGAAAGGAGAAAAATGAAGGCGCAAAAAATGGGTCCCAATCTTCTTGATATTCAGCACATAGTTTGAAGCACCATTGAAAACTCTAGCAGTAGTATAAAGGAAAGACAAATTGGAAGATGGGTTTGGATTTTCTTGAAAAATTGACTTACCTTGAGAGGTATGAACAGAATTTTGATCATTAGAGTCCCCAAGAAAGTGCCTGTTATCAACTATAGCATCAGTATTAGAACCACAGTTTATCAAGTAATTATCTTGAGGGGAGAAAGCAGTTGATAAATATATGGGGAACAAATAAAGGATGAAAAAGAGAACAACTTTACAACTTTTCATGGGAAATTCTATTTTTGTGGGTTTTTGAAATATTAGAAATGGAGGAGAAAAGGTATGGAGGAGAAGTGAAGCATATTCAGTGGAGAAGAATGAGTGAATTCTTTTTCAACTAACAGAGCATGTGAATTTTCATTAAGTAGGAAAATTATAGTCTAGAGAGGAGGTATGAGAGCTGTTTAATGGACTGTTGTTTAAAGAAACAAAATTGGTCCATGAAGACATGTTTTGAGCATTATTAATAATGTCCTCCAGTTGGAACTCTCCATATGTGTAGCAGTAATATTCCAACATTCAATCAAAAAAAAAAATACTCCTTCTGTTTTAGTTTTAAGAAGAAGAAAAAAGATGTTTGAAATTTGTGTTGCTAAATACTTAAGAGATAAAAATTAATGGGGCCATAACAATTGTATGCTTCTCATTAAGAGTAAAATAAAAAGTTTAAGGTTAAATTAATTTGGCGAAATGGCTTCCTGGCCACTTAGACTTGTAGGGTTTTTGAAAGCTGATACACAAACTTTCGTCTTTCCCATTTAAACACTCAAACTCGTAAAACCTATAACTAATAAACATTTTTGATCATTGACTATGCTTATGTGGCGGTAGCTTATCTTACGTGGACATATTGCGTACAAGTCACATTTAAATGGCGTGTGTATTTGCTACTATTCATTAAAAAGATTGTAAAATCAAAAAAATAAACAGAAACTATAAGGAAAACCAAAAAAGAAGAAGAAAAAAAACTTTCAACCTACCTCTCTCCCTTCGTCGTTTTCCCCATTATCGTTCGTCCAATTTTTCGTTTACATCTTTTTCCGAATTAGTTCTATTCCCATTTTACTGTTCCTTTACCCTTTGTCCTCTCCACTGTTCAACTATATTAATGAAGTCAGAAAAAAAATTCAGATCCAAATGTGATTTTGGGCGTAACTTTCGCCGGAAAAACAAAACAAAAGCGCAAAAAGGACATCAGGTTTCATTGCATTCATGGGGTCCTATCATACCCATTGTTTCTGATTTCACAAAAGGCTAGCAAATGTTTTGAAGAAGAGGAGTAATTTTTCTTGAAGTTGCAGTGATTTTTCTTGTATTTTGATATTGGGTTTCAGTGATTATATTTTCTTTCTTCTTGATGTTTATCCATTTTAATTTTTTCGACATTGGGAAGTCTCACTTTTAATGGATCAGATCACAACTTTCACCATTGAAAATGGTGGCTGGGTGGGGAAATTTATTCCAGCACAGCTATGGTGAAGAAGAAAATAAGGAAAATAGAAGAAAAATTAGAAATTAATAAATTTATTCCAGCACAGCTATGGGGTTTGTTTTCGCGCCCTTGAGGCGTAACAATCCCATTGGTCATTTGCTGACTGGATGGACATGTCTGTGAATGTGTAATACACGCGCGTAGGGTCAAGGGTCAAATGTGTTTATTAGTTAAGAGTTTCACGAGTTTGAGTGTTCAAATGGAAAAGTTTAAAGTTTGTGTATCGGCTTTCAAACCCCTTACAAGTTTAAGTGGCAAGGAAGCCTTTACGCCAATTAATTTTAAATATAAGATATGCCATTGTCTTTAGAACGGACTATGTATCTTATAAATTGAAACGGAGAAAATAGGTATTAAAATAGCATTAACCTTTCAAAGTAAAACATCTTTTAATACCTCAGACCACAATTGGAAAGAAAAACTTTTTGCAAAAACTTCTTCAAAAGACTTGGACAAAGGCCACCTTGGAATTTTCTCTTTTAAATTAAAAAAGAAAAATCTCAGCCTTTTGTCTTTGAAAAATTGCAATTTCACTTAATCATCTTCTCCTATTTCATTTTATCAAATGCATTTCGAAGTCCAGTGAAATAATGTATTCTTTCTTGATTAAATTTGCTTCCAACCGGCTAATTATTTATCTCATATCAACCTAGTTTACATGACACCTATCGAATGAATAGCACTCATATAAGATTGTTCTTCTGCGAAAAGGAAAACCTAATACAAACTCGACAAGTTTTTATTCTAAATTCATTCCCTCATTGTCAACTAAAGAAACTTATATCTCCAAATTCTATCTAATTATTAATATCGAAAGTCACATACCTTTTAAATTGAAAAGTTAAAAATAAAATAGAGTACTCTGGAAGTAATTATGAAGTAGAACTGGAGAGTGAGGGACTAAGAGGAAAAAAAGGAAAAGGAAAGAGCTAGAATACATGAGTAGAGAAGGAAAGAGGTAAAGAAAGCAAAACAAAAATAGAAGGAAATAAGAAGGAAAATTTGCAAACTCGAAGCATATATAGTAACTATTGGAGCTTCGTAGTTGAAAGACTAGAAATGGTGGACTTATTTATATGTTGTAGATATAAAATAAATAAATAAAAATATTTTCCTCTACTAATTTAGATTTTGCTGTTCGTACAATTCAATAGAATGATATAATGGATACATTCTCTGTTTGCGTCTTATCACCAATACATATATAATACTCCCTCCGTTTCAAATTAAATGGGTAGTTTGACTCGGCACGGAGTTTAAGGAAAAAAAAGAAAGACTTTTGAAATTTGTGGTATTAAAAGCTTAAGGGGTAAAGCTTTGTGGGACCATGACTTTTGTGTGGTTATAAAAACTTTTCATTAAGGGTAAAATGAGTAAAATAAGGAGTTTAAAATTAAATTATTTTCAAATTTAGAAATGTATCATTTATTTTGGAACAGACTAAAAAGGAAAGTACCTCATTTAATATGAAATGGAGGGAGTGTATTTGTATCGTGTTTGACCTAATAATTCTATATGAAAGAAAAATATGAAAAGACAATTGGCGTATTGAGTTCCTGCTATGCTAAAAAAATATCCTGTTAAATTTTAATGCCACACGGTTAAACAACAAAAATTCGTGCTTTTAGGTTTAAGAATATACAATAAGACAGCTAATTGAAATGTGTAAGCAAAGGCAACAGCTGGTCTTAAGTTTAGGTATTCCATTTTAATTTCCAACCTTTCATGTGCTTTCAATCAAGTTCAGTTTTGACTTTAGCTACCACTTAATTATTGTTGTATTAATGCTCCACCGTTCTACTATAATTCTTTTTCTCGTATTTTTTCATATTATAGGATCTCTCTCTCTCTTTTATTTTTCTAATTAAACATGTAAAAAAAGCCTTTTTGTTATAAAATCTTTAGTAAATATGGATGTCCACTATTCCCGCTACTTTCACCCATAATGTAAATAACCTCCCACTACTCATCACTATTATGATTATAACTCTCACACCTCCATAACCCCTCCCCATGATCTTCCCCATGATCTCAATTGTTAATGTCATGTTTAAGACAATCATTTTGTAACCTTCATATGTAATTGTATAAATAGAGGCATGAAATGTGAGATGGAATACATTTGAACACTTGATGAAATAAGAAAGTTATCTATTCTTCTCTTATTCTACTTATCTTGTTGTTTTATATGTTACTTTGAGCTACATTTCTTAAGACGTTATCAGCACGAAGTTGAGCTCTTTTCGTTGTTCAGGTATATTTGTTCATTTTGTTTTCTTCGTTGTATATTTTGATTTCATGATTAGTATCTTTAATATGCAGTTTCATAATTTCTCATATCTCTAGATATGTGTAAAAATAAAGATATGTTTCTTTATTTTAAGTTATTTGGATGATTGTCATGTGAAAGTTGCTAATTTTCATGTTAATAGAATTAATTGAGAGAAGAATACTTTTTTTTTATGTTGTTCGACATTTGAAATTGTGTTAAAGTTAGAAGACATTTTTGTTCTAGTTAACATCAAAGATACACTAATAATTTGAAGAAACAAATAGTATTCTTTTCTATGGAATTATCACTTTAGTGTATATAGATCACAAATTTGATATTATGTCAATTTTTAAGAATTCTTTACGCTATTATCCTAATGATTTCTAATTATTTATCATCTTTGATAGTTTTCACTATGTCGAATTTGTCAAGGCTTGAGTTTGTGGCACTTGACATTTTTGGAAAGAATTATCTATCATGGGTTCTCGATNCATATGTAATAGTATAAATAGAGGCATGAAATGTGAGATGGAACACATTTGAACACTTGATGAAATAAGAAAGTTATCTCTTCTTCTCTTATTCTACTTATCTTCTTGTTTTATATTGTTACTTTGAGCTACATTTCTTAATACGTTATCAGCACGAAGTCTCTAACCTCAAGATTGAATTCCACTTGCAAAGGTATATATCTACAACCTAATGCTCAAATTATCAAATTGTTGCTACACATTTCTTTTATGTGGAATCTACTTCTTTTGGATTTACTCAATTAGAATTATGTGTTGTCTCGTAAAAAGGAAATATGACAATTATACTGAGTGCATTATGTTTAATGCCAATATTTGACATGTTTGTCAGAATAGTTAAGATTAGTTGAAATAGTTTCTCCTACTATTTTAATACTCTATCAAATGACTTCCCGATTTCTTTCCTTACGACTAATGGCTTTCGGAAAAAAAAATGTTTTTGTTTATTTTGAAGAATTATATGTTTATATTTATAATTGCGGCATAGCTAATTCATGTATTTGTATGGTGATTAACTGGTCAATTGATGTTATTATTTTTATGGGATATGATCAGATTGACCCTTTGATGAAAATATTTTCGTTTATTTCTTATAACTATTTCTAATTCATTTATTTTCTTTGATAGCTTTTGCTATGTCGAATTTGTCAAAGCTTGACTTTGTGGCACTTGACATTTTTGGAAAGAATTACCTATCATGGGTTCTCGATGCTGAGATTCACTTAGCCGCTAAAGGCCTTGGTAACACCATTACTCAGGGTAATGAGGAATCAAACCAGGACAAAGCGAAGGCCATGTTCCTTCGTCGTCATTTGGATGAAGGTTTGAAAGCTGAATATTTAACAGTGAAAGATCCACTTGAATTGTGGACTGGCCTGAAGGAAAGGTATGATCACCTTAAGGCTAAGGTATTGCCAATGGCTCAATATGAGTGGATGCACTTACGATTGCAAGATTTTAAGACCGTAAGTGAGTATAACTCTGTTGTATTTCGAATAACTTACCAATTGAAATTATGTGGGGAAGTTATGAATGATGAGGATTTGCTATAAAAGACTCTTACGACTTTTCATGCCTCAAATATGGTATTACAGCAGCAATATCGTGAAAGGGCTTTTAAAAAGTATTCTGAATTGATCTCATGCCTTCTGGTGGCTGAGCAACATAATACCCTTTTGATGAAAAATCATGTAGCTCGTCCCACAGGGTTAGCTCCGCTTCCTGAAGAGAATATGGCAGCTAGACGTGATAAGTCTGGAAAAAGACAGAATAATAATCATGGCCATATGAATGTACGTGGGCATGGAAATGGTAAGAGACGATATAATAGTCGTCATCGTTGTGGTCATAGCAAATGAGAGAACAATATGGGTTCTCAAAACAATCCTTCAAGAGGCAAAAGCGGTAACTACCACCGCTGTGGCATGAAAGGTCATTGGAAAATTGAATGTCGTGCACCTGAGCATTTTGTCAGGCTTTATCAAAACTCCATCAAAAGAAAGGCAAATAATGTTGGAGCATCTTCTGCTAATGCCCCAGTCGAGTCTCACTTGACCTTTAAAAATGATTTTGAGGCAGGGCCTTCAAACAAAAATGATGACAATGCCGAGGCAAATCTTGCTTTGAATGATGATGATTTTCAAGGCCTCGATGATCTTACTCATTTGGAAGTTGAAGATTTCTTTGGAGATTACAACTAAAGTTTGATCATTTTACTGGGGAACGCAATTATATTTTATTTTTATTTTCAGTGTTTTTGTCTCGTCTAAAGTTGTTTTACTTTCAAGTAGTACTTAAGTTGTCTTATGTTTTCGTAGGTGATGTTAGTTTTTCCGTATTTCTCATGATGTATTTTTCTTTATGAAGAAATTAAAATTCTCAGTCTTCAATTGGATCCAAGATGAGTAATGAAGATTTATGTCTTTTGGATAGTGCTACAACTCACACAATATTAAGAGAAAGGAAATTTTTCTCTTATTTGGTTATGAAAAAGGCCTATTTTAATACAATGTCCGGTAGTACAAAGTTGATTGAGGGCTCTAGAAGAGCGGCTTTATTATTACCTGGAGGAACGATATTAACTATTGATAATGCATTATATTGTAGTAAGTCTCAAAGAAACTTGTTGAGTTTCAAAGCTATTCGCCAAAATGGATACCATGTTGAGACATCAAACGAAGGAAATGTTGAATACCTTTATATTACTACAATAAAAGGGGGTAAAAGATATGTGCACGAAAAATTATCCGCATTTTCTTCTGGGTTGTACCACACAAACATTGGTGTGGTTGAATCACATGCCATAGTAAACAAAAAGTTTACTACTTCTAATGATTTTATCATTTGGCATGACCGGTTAGGCCATCCTGGTTCTAACATGATGCGCAGAATAATACAGAATTCAAATGGGCACACATTGAAGAACAAGAAGATTCTTCAATTTAAGGAATTCTCCTGTGCTACTTGTTCTCAAGGAAAATTGGTTATTAAACCATCAGCAGCTAATGTTGGGATTGAATCCCCTGCATTTCTGGAACGTATACAGGGTGATATATGTGGGCCTATACACCCTCCATGTAGACCATTCAAGTATTTTATGGTCTTGATAGACGCATCTACAAGATGGTCACATGTGTGCTTATTGTCAACTCATAATATGGCATTTGCGAGATTGTTGGCCCAAATAATAAGGTTAAAAGCACAATTTCCAGATTATGCAATTAAGACAATTCGTCTTGATTATGCTGGTGAATTTACATCTCAGGCATTTACAGATTATTGTATGGCCACTGGAATAAGAGTTGAGCATCCGGTTGCTCATGTTTATACTCAAAATGGTCTAGCAGAATCATTGATTAAACGACTTCAACTAATATCTAGACCATTGCTAATGAGGACAAAACTTCCCATTTCAGTGTGGGGACATGCTATTTTGCATGCAGCAGCACTTGTGCGCATAAAGCCAACCAGTTATCATAAAGTCTCTCCATTACAGTTGGCTTTTGGTCAGGAGCCAAATATTTCCCATCTAAGAATTTTTGGATGTGCGGTATATGTTCCAATTGCTCCACCAAAACGCACAAAGATGGGTCCCCAAAGAAGGTTGTGAGTATATGTTGGTTATGAATCTCCTTCTATTATTAAATATTTGGAGCCTATGACAGGAGATTTGTTTACAGCCAGATTTGCTGATTGTCATTTTGATGAATCAGTTTTTCCAACATTAGGGGGAGAAAATAAACAGCTAGAAAAAGAGATAGATTGGAACGTATTATCTCTATCTCATTTGGATCCTCGTACAAATCAATGTGAACAAGAAGTTCAAAAGATCATTTATATGCAAAATGTTGCAAATCAATTGCCAAATGCATTTACTAACCTTCCACGAGTTACTAAATCGCATATTCCAGCTGTAAATGCTCCAATTCGAGTTGATGTCCCAGCTGGACAGTATGATGATGCAAATGAGTCTAAGCCACGCATTAAACGTGGTAGACCAATTGGTTCCAAGGATAAGAATTCCCGAAAAAGGAAAGGAGCAAATGATCAAGTTGATCATAACATGGAGGCAATTGCTCAAGAGGAGCATAAAGACATAGCAATTGATAAGACCTCACAGGAGGTTCTAGTACCTGGAAATGATGAAAATGAAGAGATCTCAATAAGTTATGTCTCTACGGGAAAAAGGTGGAACCGAAATAACGTTGTTGCTAACAACAATTTTGCATATAATGTTGCAGTTGAAATAATGCAACAAGATGAGGATCTTGAGCCAAAATCTGTCGATGAATGTAGACAGAGAAATGATTGGCCAAAATGGAAAAATGCAATTCAAGCGGAATTGGCTTCACTCGAAAAACGTGAAGTTTTCAGACCAATAGTCCGAATGCCTGAAGGTGTCAAGCCAGTGGGGTACAAATGGTTTTTTGTGCGAAAACGAAATGAGAAAGGTGAAGTCGTAAGATATAAAGCACGACTTGTGGCACAAGGGTTTTCGCAAAGGCCTGACATTGAAAAGGGTCAAAATTGCACCTCTACTATTGTTTATTGGTTGCTTGTGCCCCCCGTTACACTTTACGGCCATTCTCGTCCCTACCGTTAACAAAGTTTTCAAAATTACCCCTAACCCTAATGTCCCTCCTCTGTGGCAGCTGACTCCATCAATTTTATCCATGTCAGCTGCCATGTCATCGACCCCACCAAATTAAAACCCTAACATAAACGACCCCCCCACTCCTCACCTCTCCACCCTTTCTCTCATCTTCTCTCCCTCACCTCATACCAAAATCGCCGGGAACCATGGCATTTTGCCGGAAAATTTTCAGCGGGCAGAACTAACCTCCACGGTACTGGCTCCCCTCTTCGTCTCTTTTCTCCTTCCATTTTCTCTTTCTCTCTCTCACTCATCAATTGCACTGATTCTCTTCTCTTCAATTTTAATTTCAGTGCTATTTATTTCTATTTTCCTCGAATTCTCAAATTATTAAATTTTTCGTTCATCGATTTGGTTGCTTAATCTTGGAATCTCTACCAATCCCATTATATCACCCACCCTCAATCCTCTGAGAATGTTCTTCTAATCTCTTCTTCCCACATACAAATACTCATTTGATTGAATTCTTTAGCCGACCTCTCACTACCACCTCTTTCCAATCCCATTCAGAAAAAATAGGAAGCTATAGTCACCGCCAAAAGAGTCACTCTGATATCGGGGTCTGTTCTCTCTTTTGGTTTGTTCTTCATTTTATTCTGTCTGGTTCTTCATTTTTTGTTGTGGATGAGAATGTGAAAAAAAAATGGAGGAGATACGGTGGGGTTTATGTGAAGAAGGTGGGCCTGTCAATTAATGGCGGTGTTAATGGTGCCTGGTTAGTACTGATTTGGGAGATGTATTTGAAAGGAGACTAAAATCACCATACAAAGAATTTGGAAAAGGTTGAAGAATACCTGATGGGTCTGTCATGTTCTTCAGAAGTTGTTGAAATTCATTGTATGTTACTTGAATATAATGTTGAGGTTGAAAATTATTGATTAAACTCTGATTTTGAAGCTTAAGAACAACTTGGTATGCCCAAATCTATGTTTGATGTTCTATACTTTGCTATGCCTATTATTTTTTAAAAGTTCGTAGAATTGTCATTATGATTTTTGATGGACTTTCTTTAGATAAAAATATTTCAGTGAGTGAGAACATGTTTATCAAGCTTATTAAAGTAGATTAGTTAAGTGATTTATTCTTTGTTGTTTTAACCAACATCAGTTTGCAGTGATGTTACCATTTTCTTGTACTTCTGTTTGTTCTTTCTTATTCATTATTTGAATGGTTTTAATTGCTTTCTGACTGCAAAATAGTGCTAGAATCTGTACTTTGTTGAAGTGGGAAGATACTTATGGTGTTAAAGTTCAAATCACAATGATGTTTCGATGCCTTGTTAGGTTTGTGTTAGTAACATAAACTACATTTTAGTGATGATAAATTTTTTGGTCTCTCAAATATGTATGAACTTCCGGCAATTTTAGTGATGACAAATGCCATGATTTCCGGCGATTTTAGTATGAGGTGAGGGAGAGAAGATGAGAGAAAGGGTGGAGAGGTGAGGAGTGGGGGTCGTTTATTTTAGGGTTTTAATTTGGTGGGGTCGATGACATGGCAACTGACATGGATAAAATTGATGGAGTCAGCTGCCACAGTGGAGGGACGTTAGGGTTAGGGATAATTTTGCAAACTTTGTTAACGGTAGGGACGAGAATGGCCGAAAAGTATAAAGGGTGGCACAAGCAACCAATAAACAATAGTAGAGGGGTAATTTTGACCCTTTGCCCTTGATTATATGGAGACATATTCTCCTGTGGTAGATGCAATTACCTTCAGGTATCTAAATCTAGCAGTCCATGAAAAGCTTGATATGCAGTTGATGGATGTTGTCACGGCCTACTTATATGGTTCACTAGACAATGAAATTTTATGAAATTCCCTGAAGGATTTAAAGTTCCTGATGCACATAAAAGTTCGAGAGAAACTTGTTCAATAAAGCTTCAGAAATCCTTATACGGATTGAAGCAATTAGGGAAGATGTGGTACAATCGCCTTAGCGAGTATTTGCTAAAGGAAGGGTACAAAAATGACCCTATTTGCCCTTGTGTCTTTATTAAGAGGTCTGGATCTGAATTTGTCATCATAGTTGTGTATGTTGATGACTTGAATATCATTGGCATTCTAAAGAGCTTCCAAAGGCTGTAGAGTGTTTGAAGAAAGAATTTGAAATGAAAGATCTTGGTAAGACAAAATTTTGTCTTAGCCTCCAAATTGAGCATGTACCAAATGGAATTTTTGTCCATCAATCAACATACACTGAAAAGGTGTTAAAGCGATTTTACATGGATAATGCACATCCATTGAGTACCCCAATGGTTGTGAGATCGCTTGACATAAATAAAGATCCATTTCGGCCTCAAGAAAATGATGAAGAGCTCGTTGGTGATGAAACTCCATATCTTAGTGCAATTGGGGCACTGATGTATCTTGCCAACAATACTCGACCAGATATTGCTTTTGCAGTGAGCTTATTAGCAAGATTCAGCTCCTCCCCAACAAGAAGACATTTGAATGGTGTTAAGCATATATTTAGATACTTCGGGGAACCATAGATATGGGATTGTTTTATTCTAATGACTTCAAGTCAGAAATGATTGGCTATGCCGATGCAAGTTATTTGTCTGATCCACATAAAGCTCGATCTCAAACACGCTATTTGTTTACATATGGAGGTACTACTATATCATGGCGTTCAATGAAACAAACAATAGCTGCTATATCTTCAAATCATGCTGAGATAATAGCCATTCATGAAGCTAGTCGGGAATGTGTTTGGTTGAGATCAATGACTCAGCATATTCAGGAAATGCGTGGTTTTCTTATGAAAAAGGATAATCTAACAACACTATATGAAAACAATGTTGCTTGTATTGCTCAACTGAAAGAAGGATACATCAAAGGAGACAGAACAAAGCATATTTCACCAAAGTTCTTTTTCACGCATGATCTTCAACAAAAAATTAATGTTCAACAGATTCGTTCATGTGAAAATTTGGCTGATCTGTTCACTAAGGCTTTACCAACCTCAACATTTGAGAAGTTGAGACAGAAGATTGGAATGCGACGTCTTCGAGAAATAAAGTGATATTTTCATGAGGGGGAGTAAGATACGCGCTATAATCTTTTTCCCTTAGCCTAGGTTTTGTCCCACTGGGTTTTACTGGTAAGGTTTTTAACGAGGCAGCAAATAAAGCGTATTACAGATATGTGTACTCTTTTTCCTTCACTAAGATTTTTCCTCACAGGGTTTTTTCTTAGTAAGGTTTTAACGAGGCATATTATCTATTTTTTTGGACATCCAAGGGGGAGTATTATAAAATCTTTAGTAAATGTGGATGTCCACTACTCCGACTACTTTCATCCATGATGTAAATAACCTCCCACTACTTATCACCATTATGATTGTAACTCCCACACCTCCATAACCTCTCCCCATGATCTTCCCCCATGAGCTCAATTGTCATGTTTAAGACCATCATTTTGTAACCTTCTTATGTAATAGTATAAATAGAGGCATGAAATGTGAGACGGAACACACTTGAACACTTGATGAAATAAGAAAATTATCTCTTGTTCTCTTATTCTACTTATCTTCTTGTTTTATATTGTTAGTTTGAGCTACATTTCTTAATATGAACAAATTTATAGCAAAAAAAATTACATTAAAATGGACCGGAAGGAGTAAGAATATATATATGGCTCCAACTTTTAATGAAACACGTGATAATCTTCCCCAAATTTTCTCCAAGTCACAGATCTTAATTTTTTTTTAGTTCCTGCTCATACCAATCAATGAGTAGAGGGTCAACTTCTGCATTTGGATTCGGTCTGGATCAGCCAGTCAATTTTAAATTCCATTTTCTTATTAACAAAAAATCTGAGGCAGTACGAACTACGAATTAAAACATTAATTTTTAAATGGCTACATTAACTTCTAACTTAATCTCAATTTTCCCCTCCATAAATCCAATTTTGACCTTCCTCCTCCTCTGTCCGATCCTCGCTCGGATTCGCCGGAGACGGCATTCTGTCGTCATCTCCACCTGACATTAGATGTCAGTCGCAGTCGAAATGTCGGAAACCACCGTCGAACGAGACAGCGACGCCGAACCGTTGCTTGATTCTATAAATCGTAAGTTACGCATACATAATTACGGATATGTCTGTATTACGCAATTTTATTTCAAATTTTGTTTATGAGATTAATTTACTATAGTTATTATATTTTCTTAGCTCATTTTCTAGGAAAGGAAAAGACTTGAGTTAAATAGTGTAAGAACCTGTTAGCAATCTCAAATACTGGCTAGTTCGTTATTACAATTTCAAGTTTGATAATCGACAGCTGAAATTGCCAGCTTGTGAATATAGAGCTCCTAATCAATATGGTTTGTGACGTAAATCCATGTTGCCATGCTACAGGAATCACCTCGTGTTTTTTTTTTCTTTTCTTTCTTCCACTATGATTTGAACCGAGACCTCATAGTTGTCCTACCAATACGTTTATCACGACAACACCATTAGATGCTAAAAAAATTTGCAGAACATTTTTGCTCATGTAATATTCAATCAAGTCCATCACTGGTGGGGTAACTTCTTGAAGTTTTCCGTGGTGCTTTGAAGCATCATACTGAGGAGACCATTGAGAAAACCTTTGCAAAAGTAGAGGAGAGAGTGATACTGAGAGAACTATCTTTAACTCTTTCAAAGTGTTTAGTAGGAGGAATTAGTATTGGCTATTGCTAAGCAGTAACATGCACCTTATCATGAAATTATCAGTAACTACAACTTCGTCGTAGAAATGGCTCTATCAACCTTAATTTCTTGTAGGTTGTGAAACCAACTGCAGACTCAGGATCTGTGCATTTAGGTAATACTTGTACTAGGATCTGAAGGGGCGTGTTGAGACATAATAATATTTAAGTAACTAACAGTGTGCTCTATGGTCACACATTTCAACAACATTCATGTTCCTAAAAGCTGGCATTGGTTCCAATAATTGTGGTATTATGGAGCTCATATTCAAATTCCTTATCTATAAATGTGCAGGAAAGGAGGATCTGCTGACAACCTCTGTCGAGGAAGATTCTAGTTCATCCAATAAAATTGGCCCTCATGGGAACAAATATTCTATTAGTTCAGTCAGATGCTTTGGGGTGGACCTAACCCCAGATAACATTGCAATTGCCATGGTATATTTTGTTCAAGGTATCTTAGGCCTTTCAGATCTTGCTGTTAGCTTTTATTTGAAGGACAACCTGCACCTAGACCCTGCAGAGGTATGTCATCCTCATCTTGAATACTTTGTTACATTGTTGGTTGAGCTTCCACAATATAATAAAAGAATTTTCAGCAGATAAATCTTCATATTTCATCCAAAATTGCACATTCGAGTTGGAAAACTAATTACAAAGCTTGAATTGATCAATGGACTTTGAATTTAGGGTACATTCTGAGTTTGTTATTCGAAATACAAGTTAAATGAAATGAAATCTTCACTTTCCTTGGTTCATCTCATAAGTACCGTTCATTCTTCTCCTCATGTCCCACTGTATCTCTCTTTGTGTAACAAAATTCAGAGGATATTTTATGTTGGCCTGAGATGAATTTAACTGGAGAAATATGGTAAGTTAGGATTCATATAGCCAACCCAACTTGTTTGGGACTGATGCATAGTTGTTGTTCTCATATTAAATTTTACAGAATTTTCTAAATTTCTACTTCATTCTACATCAGAATTTCAGATTTTTCTAACTTCAACTAATACAGTGTAAATGTTAGACACTATTTTATGTACTTTTTCTGTCTACTTTCAGCCACTTATATCATCAAGAAGGTGTCTAGTTAACATTGCTTTTGTTTATCTTTAATAGTCATGTAAATATATGAACTTATTTACGTTAATTTAGCCACACCCTATCATCCTCGTCTTCCTCTTCTTTATTATAGAACTTTCACCCATCGTATGCCATGCTTATCTTATGTCATTTAACAGCATTTATCTAGTTCTTATCAGATTGAACACTAAATAGAACTGATTGAACAATGTAATGTCAACCTATTGGCATATTACTGATCCTCATCTAGGGCCTCTAACCATGAACTTAGAGATGGATTTTTGAAATAAATTCATTGTTTTTCCGTAAAGATATTGAGTACGAGGCATTGCGAATTTATGAACCTTTGCCTAAGCATTTCTGTCTTCATTTGATAGAGCGCATTTTAAACGGGAACTGTCTGATGAGGTGTCATATTTATTTGTCATTAGCACCTTCTTCCTTTGATTGAGTACAAGGACTGACACTTTTGTGTCTAACTAGACAGCTGTGATATCTGGTTTCTCATCATTGCCATGGCTTATAAAGCCCTTATATGGATTCATCAGGTTGGATTCAATTTGCATTTCATCCTTATTCATCTACTAATTATTCTCAGCAACTAATTCATCATTACTTGAATTTCGGTCTTGTAGTGATTCCTTCCCACTCTTTGGTTACCGAAGAAGATCGTACTTGGTATTATCAGGACTCCTTGGAGCACTCTCATGGTTTTGTATGGCCACCTTTGTTGACAGCAAGTACGGTGCTGCTTCCTGCATACTTATTGGTTCTCTTTCTGTTGCTTTCTCAGATGTTGTAAGTTCCTTTTTGTTACTAGTTGGTTTCAGTTATTTGAGTCTCATGATGAGTTTGTTACCAAGTTACAAGATGCAAGCGTGTTCGCTACATTGTTTATCTTAACTGTTTTTGACTTGGATCAAGAGATTGACAGTAGTCTTTTTGGGCTTTGAACCTTCAATATGGGTTAGGAGGTTGTGAAATAAAACCCAGCTTGTATAAAAACTACGTGCGCTAAGGTCATTGTCCTACATTATTCTAATTCATTAAATTCACAAGTTCTTGCTAATTACGCCTAAGCTGGACCTGGATAGAGTAAATGTTTTGCCTATTGAAATTCTGAACGAACTCTCAGATGCATCTTTGGCAAAAAGGGACAGAGACTAAGATCTGAGGCATGATCTGAAGTAAAAAGTCTATCAAACAGTTGTGTTGAAATAGAAAGATATTCTGATAAATGTTCAAAAGCACAATTATTGAATTGTGTGACCACCTCATCCAAATATTTAAACTATTAGAGAGGGTATATTTTTATTGACTTATGATGCCTTTAACGCTCCGTCCTTTCACGTGCAGTCAACTTTCTTTTCTATAGACTAAGCACGTGAATTTTTTTGATAAAAGTTGGCAGTGAGACTGGAAACCGGGACCTCTCCTGTGCCATATTGAATTGTGTCATCGCCTCATTTAAAGCACCCACTTTTTTAAATTGTGTATGTCTTAAGAAAGGATGTATATGAATGTGAAATTGCTTCTTTAATCAGTATTTTCTACAAATAGACTATGTTAATTCCTATGGTGTGTCCTTATATTTTTTTTAAAAAGGACACCTATGATGTGCTGAACAAGGTTTAGGCAGTGTTTGGTCCAAGTTGCAATAGGAACATACATAAACTATCTAAATGAAGTGTAGATGCCTATAAGCGGTTGTATCTGTCACTATCTATGGGTTGTTATTATTTACATTCTGAAGAAGTATGAAAGAGAATCAAGAGAATGATCATACTAACATGCATTGCCCATTTTAGTTTTTGGGATATTGCTGACTGAAGTAGGCAAATGACTTGATCTTGGTTTCCTAAACCTATAAGTTGCTTCCTTAATGTTAACCTTGTCAGAGAGAGCTAACTACTTATACCAAATGACTTTTCCAACCTGCCAGGTTACCTGTTCTACTTTTATGAATTTCTGTGGACTATTGACACCTCAAGCAAATTTTGTATCTTTTTAAATCATGTGATTTTTCTCACTACTAATATCGGTGGCATCTGTTAATAGGAACTCTTTCCTCCTGAGAAACATGGTAAGTCTTTGTTGTTGAATGATGAATTTTCAAATCAGAACCATAAGGAAGTAGAAGGCTATGACACTGCTGCTTCTTATATTCTGGAAATAATAGCACAACAGCATAGCTTAGAGTGAGCTATTATCAGTTTGAAATGGAATAATACATCACATGGATTTTCAGTGCAAATTTCGAGGACGTAAGTTGGATAAACTACATAATCTTTGTATCACCAATTTTAAGGGTTAGCTGGATCACAGGCTATTGCGCCACTCATTGTCAGACCCCTCTATCATAATCCAATCTTACATACCAGGGACGAGGTTCTTGAGCTTGAGTTTTAGTTGTTACATATACCTATATGAAATATTTGCTGGCAAATGGAATGTAGCTTAACTTTCTTTTGCTTGAAGTGATCCTATTGCTGCAGAATATAAGATTGAGGCATGATGTAGGTCGTAGACTCCATGGTTGTTGAGCGGGCACGTGGTGAGTCTCAAAGCATGTCAGGATCTCTTCAGTCACTATGCTGGGGTTCTTCAGCATTTGGGGGAATTGTCAGTTCTTACTTTAGTGGCTCCCTTGTGGATTCTTATGGTGTGAGGTAGGATACTAGTCAGTCTTTTGAGATATTGTATGCCTGTATTGGTCTGAGCGACGTCAATGGTCTGTTAGTTAATTATCTTTTGGTTACTCCAGGTCCGTTTTTGGTATAACAGCATTACTTCCATTGATAACATCTGCAGTATCTGTACTTGTGAAAGAGGAGCCTGTACATGGCCCAGCAAGGGGTCTTTCTTTAGGCAATGGCTTCCTTGAGAGTTCAAAAAGTAGCATTTTCCAGTTATGGGGAGCTGTTAAGCAACCTAATGTTCTTCTTCCCACGCTATTTATTTTCCTATTTCAGGCAACACCACAGTCAGGTTCTGCTATGTTTTATTTCATGTATGCTCAAATCCAGGTTTACGTTTCCTTTCCAAATAACTATTACATGCAAGATGCAAGTTTTTAACTGAAGTTTGCTGATTGTAGAACAAATAAACTTGGTTTCACTCCAGAATTCTTAGGCCGTGTTAAGCTGGTTACTTCAGTTGCATCACTGATTGGTGTTGCGCTGTATAACAGTTTCTTAAAGAAAGTTCCTTTAAGGAAAATATTCCTTGTGACGGCTATTATTGGTTCAGCTCTTGGGATGACTCAGGTATTTGTCCCAAAATATCTTCTGTGCTTCAGGTCTATGTTTTGTCTTCCCTGTTGGCCCTAATTACTGGTGCTTTAGATTGACTTAAGTGTAACTGGTGTCTTGATAGGTTCTACTGGTAACCGGATTGAACCGGCAGTTTGGCATTAGTGATGAGTGGTTTTCAATTGGGGATTCATTGATCCTTTCTGTTCTTGGTCAGGTAATCTTCTTATAATGATTCTTGTGAGTATAGAATTATGGTATTTTGCAAGTGGAAACTATTTCACGACTGTCTAACTTATACATTTTTTAGGCGTTTTTCATGCCTGTTCTTGTATTAGCTGCAAGAATATGTCCACTGGGAATGGAAGCTACTTTCTTTGCAACCCTTATGTCCATAGCCAATGGGGGAAGTACTCTTGGGGGCCTACTTGGTGCAGGTCTAACTCAGATCTTTGGTGTCACCAAGGACAGATTTGACAACTTGGCTCTCCTAATAATTGTCTGCAATCTCAGCTCTCTGTTGCCTTTACCATTACTTGGCCTCCTTCCTCGAGATGTACCTGATTCAGAGGAGAATACTGATATTGAGATGATATCGTCTTAAATTCCTGCCTTCTTTACATACCATGAAGTTACTCATTAACTTCCTTTAACTGCAGCTTTACGGGTTAACAGTAAGTTGAGAACTCACTCAATTAAATTAGGAATGCTAATATGAATGATTAAAGATGAATTATGATCTCAAGTCATCGCTTAAAGACAAAAACTATAGGATTAGTAATATTTACTTTTTAAGCAGCGAGTAGGACCCATTTTGAGCCGTTTCCAATGTAACATTTATATTGCCGGATGGACAACAATTATACAGATGGGATGTCTATGAACCCGAGTTGGTTATTTTCTGAGGAAAGGTTTGCTACCATATATTGTACCATTGATGAGAGTAGCCGTATTGAATTAGTTTTTCGGTTGGATATTTTATTTTATTTCCTGAACCTATTCGCTGCAGCTGTAGCAAGAACGACAATTTGGTAGAAGAAAATTTGCTCCCGTTTGGCCATAAAAGATTTTTTTTTTTTCAAATTTTGTTTTCAAATATATGTTTGTTTATAGATTTTAACCATATTTAGCAGATTTTGAAAACAAAATCTTCAAATCCCAAAAACCGCTCTATAGTAGTTTTTGAAGTTTTTTACAGACAAAACTTCAAATTCTTTTCAAGTAAAATGCATGTCCAAATACAGTTGCAACTTTTAAATATCATTTTTCGCTAGAGTTTGACCATAGATCTCAAATTTATTTTGAAAAATCTGATTTGGGTGAAGTTTTGGTTTGAAGATGAAAATGTGTTTGGACATACGTTTTCAAAACATATTTTCCAACTTTATTTTGGAAAAACATGTATATAATTCCCAAGTTTTGGGATTTTGGCCCAAAATCAGCTCAATAGTTGATTTTGGGATTTGAGATTTGGGATTTGGGATTTGGCCAAAATATGGGCAAAATTTATTGCCAAACATGAGTTTTGAAAATAAATCCCAAATTTATTTTGGCAAGAATCATGGTCAAACGGGGCCCATCTCATCTTCAAAAACTCATTTTTTTCAACTTTCAATCAAATTTATGTCCGACATCTTGAAACCAAGCCAATTTTGGCGCCGCTTTATGATAATGAAACCAACCAGCAAAAAGCATTAACGCTGCAAAGACCAATGCCCCAATTGCTGTACAATAGAGTTGTAATTCACTAGTTATTCCAGATGCTCGCCAAATCTGAAAAAAACCAGAGGTTATTTGTATTCCTCGGAAACCCCCGCCTACATCACCATTTAATATTTCTTGGCCCACTATTGGCCAAACCACCTGGGCACTAGGCCCAATGTGAGTTGGATCACTTAGCCACGCTTCATAATTAGATGCTAGCTTCATCTTCAGTTTGGATGGTGAGGGTGGGGTATATATGGATGCTTTCTTCAGAAGAAAGAAAAATTGTGGCTTGTCTCCAAATATGAACGTAGGGGTCTTGTCTTGTTACTTGTTAGTTTTTTGACAATTAATTCGAGATTGCCACTTCAGACTCTTCATTGGTTTGTCCCAAAAGGTGTCTCATGGGATGTTGGGCAGTCGGAAGTTGGTACAGTTGATAGACGCTCCAATCATTGAACCAACTTCAATACCTAAAATTTCTTGAGTGGAGAGAAGTATAGATAATTCGGGAAAAGACCGCCCCAGTGTATACCGGTTCTAATCAATAATGTCTTAAACCCTTACCCAACAATTCCAAGATTGTGGTCATTTGGCAATATTTAGAACTCACTAATCTGATAATCAAAGACTACTTACACAAAATACAAGTACTTAATATTTCTTCCTCCATTCGTGTAATTTGACTAGCCATTATTGAAAAGTGCAATGATTAGTACTATTATTATTAGCAGATGTAAGTAACAATTGTATAACGGATGAGGGAATAATGCAGCATAATAACCAGATGCGGTTTTAATTATTGTTCCAATAATGTAGTCAGGCTATAATATAGTAACTGTAATGCATTATGCTATATTACTATATTCTGATGGATGGTTTTTTGTTCTAATGTTATAAAGGAATATTAGTATGGTGGATGAAATTGAGTGATAACATCCAAAATGTCAATCCTCTAAAGTTAGAGAGTTTCTCGTGAGGAAATGTTTTTAAAGAGAATCCACTCGTGAACCTCATTGTAAAGAGTGAATGTTTACAAGACTTTTATATTATGTCTGAAATGGTGAATTAGTCACCTTCTTCTGTGGGCTTAAGTCTAAACGGATTTTCACTCAAATGTTTTTTCTTTGTCTCCATTGAGCTGAATAGAAGGGGATGACTCTCGAACCTGCCCCGTTCCGCATCCACACCGCCCCATTATCATTAGGGATGAGCAGTTGGTCAGAAAAATCAATATTCCATGGTCAGTAGGGAATTGCAAAGATAAAAGTATGAGGGAAGCCATGTGAAGAACATTAAATATAAGAGGAATCACAGATTAAAGTTCCGACAAACATTCCTTTATTGATATATATATATATATAATAATGAGGAAAACAATAAAATGATGCATACTCGGACTGGATTTGGAGCTAATCCATTGCAGAGGAATTATTGATACCTATAAATGAACTCCCATTATGAATTCCCAATAAGGGAAAATAAATTATATACTACAAAAACAATCATAATGTCACATTGAAGACTAACATAAGAGTTTGGACAAATAGGACAGTATAAAGGTTTTGTGGCTCTTTATAAATTTGTTTTAGTTTTATGATCTTACCTTTTTTTACACTTGGAGATTTATTTTTATACCTAACAGATCTCTATTTTTTACACATAAGAGATCTAAAAAGATCATTTTCTTAATTTTAAAGTTGTAAAGGGGCATGATGTACAAATAGCACAGTTTAAGTTATATGTAACACACTCACATATTTGAATAGTAATTGCATATAATTCTATTTAATAATAGTAATTGGTATCCAAGAATAAAAAAAGTAACCTGTTATAGTAGGTTAAATTACGCTAATAATGTAAAAAAATTATTTGCAAGGCAGTATTTGGCTTTGGTTTGGGGAGAATTTTTATTGGGATCATTGCGAGAGAATATATCTATTTATGCTTTACTTCTATTTCGTTTCAAAAACAAATCAAAATGAAATGTGTTTGAACAAAAACATAAAACAAAGTAGTAGCTAGTTTCTTCTCTTAGTCAAACATATGTAGGGGTAATAAGTGAACTTTACCACTGAACGATGCGGTGAAATGGATGTGATCCGTTCATCCTTAATTGAAGTCTTGGTTTGACTTTGTAATTAGAGAAATTAAAATAGTGATCTATAATTGATTTATGATTTATATCTAGTACTTACCAGAGGAAATTTAAATTCTACAACTGAATCATGTGGGAGTACCTAACTGGTAATTGCTATTACAAAGCAAAAACTCTAATCAACTAGGATACTAAATATTCATAATTAGTAGTTTAGAGCAATAGAATACTAAAAACGGCAAAGTGCATATGGAGACACAAGATGACAACACTAGTTTCTATTTAAGGCTAGACCAATTGACCCCTCAAGAACAAGGATAGAGGAAAGTTCATTAGCCACAGGAAAATGTTGGTGGTCTACTAGACAAGAATTCACATGTTGTTGAGCCTATGCGATGACTACAACTGTACATTATGTGGATACAAAGTTATTAAAAGAAAAACAATTGTATTACATAGTATGATATATATGACTTCCATCAACCTGGAGCAGCCCCACATGCTTGGCCATTTCTTATCTGTAAATTAACTTCATCTGAGCGAGAATAAGGTCCACTGTTGATTACCAACAAGGTTGTGATAGAGTGAAGTATATTTTCATTCTTAATCGGAGGTCGTTTTGGATTCGAGCTCTGAGTATGAAGTTGTTTTTGTTAGGGAGTGCTTTACTCCAATGTAGGATTTCCCGGCGCGAATCCAAATTTAATCGGACCCCAATACGGGTACGAATATCCGGTGGGAAACTAAAAAAGAAAAAGGTCCATTGTTGATTTGTCGGATATTCATCAAATAATCTGATCTGACCGCTAATTGTCCCAGGAACCAGTCTGCTCAAGCTAACATACTGTAACACCCCAGACTTTAGACAGAGTCCCACATCAGCAAAACACAAGAGGGATGCAATGGTATATAAGTTAACAAGCCTTAGACCCTAGTGACGCGTGTTAAACCCGTGAAGGCCTAGGCCCAAAGCGGACAATATCACTAGCGGGCTGGGATGTTACTGATGGTATCAGAGCCAGGTTGTGTCAGCCTTGCCGATAGTGATCAGAGTTCAACTGAGTTTAGGCAAATCCCGGTTAGGCGGGGCAAACCTCAGTGCTGAGTCTAGACGAATCCCATGCGGTGGGGCAAACCTCAGCGACGACACAGAGTCCCACATCGGCAAACACACAAGAGGGATGCTGAGCATATAAGTTAACAAGCCTTAGATCCTAGTGACGCGTTTTAAACCCGTGAAGGCCTAGGCCCAAAGCGGACAATATCACTCCTTGGACCATTTCAAAATGAAGAGAACAGATGATTTCGTTGTCCTATTGATCTGTGATCACGCCCAACTATGCCTTATAAAAAGGATTAAATGGTCATTGCAAATATAATCCGGTTAACAAGTCCAGAGTCGAATCCCACAGGGAATTAACCCACTAATCACAACTGCTAGTTCCTCAAGAATTTAAGTAATCAACTTCCAGAAATATTGAATAATGAGTTGAGTGTGTACTAACTAAAAGCAAGGTAATTAAAAAGCTGTAATTTTATTACTAACAAAGCAAATATTGTAGATAAGATTGGAAAGGTCTAGGGTTACGATTTTCCTCTTATCGGGATCCTCCCCGCTATGTCTCCTATAAATTCGCCTAGATATTCTCTACAATTGTGAGCACTTTAGGCGTGATAATTCTCTTACGAGCAACTACAACAATTTACTAGAGGTATTCTTGCAAACTACGCTAGCTGGCATTAGTTCACGTTCACTAAGTTCATACCAAGGTTTAGTTATTCCTAATCCCACCTTTAAACCCTCTATATTGATCCTCATATACGTTAGGAGTGATGTTGTTCAACAACTACCTAAATATGTACCATTTTTCAAGTAATATACACTAAATAGGCATAGTCAGATGAGGGCCCTTCAATCAACCACAATAATCATGTAGTTGAACAAGTAGAGAAAATCCATGGCAAACTTATATTAAACGCAACAAAAATTCATCCTCCAAGAGGTTCTATCAAACCCTAGAATAAAGAGTTTAGCTACTCATAATTGTTTGCACAACTACAATATAAGAATTCATCACCAATAATAGAAAAAGGAAGAAGAAAGATAAAAACTCGTTTCCGAATCTTCCGCC